GATCCTTCCGCCTCAGCCTTCTGAGTAGCCGGAATTACAGGCATGCGCTACCACGCCCGGCTGATTTTTTGATTTCTGGTAGAGCTAAGGTTTCGCTGCCCAGGTTCGAACCCGCGGGCTCAGGCAATCCACTCACCTCAGCCTCCCAAAGGCGCGGGATTACAGGCTGAGCCACCGAGCCCGGCTTAGTTTTTTGATTTATTATAGAGATGAGGTCTCACCAAGTTGCTCAGGCTGGTCTCAAACCCCTGAGCTCAGGCAATCCTCCTGACTCCGCCTTCCAAAGTGCTGGGATTACAGGTGTGAGCCATGGTGCCTGGCCCTTTCATGCTCATGTGAAAACTTGAATTCTACAAAGCAGCTGCTCACTCCCTTGAATCTGACACTTCAATAACATCACATCCAAAACAGCTGCTTTCTCAGGACTGCTGTTCAGAGCCACAGGATTTCAGAAGTAAAAAAGGAAGGAGAAGCCGGGCTTGGTGGCTCAGCCTGTAATCCCAGCATTTTGGGAGGCTGAAGTGAGTGGATTGCCTGAACCCACAGGTTCGAGACCAGCCCAGGCAACTTGGCGAGACCTCGTCTCTACAATAAATAAAAATTAGCCAGGCATAGGTAGTGTGTGCCTGTAGTTCCGGCTTCTTGGAAGGCTGAGGCAGAAGGATTGCTGGAACCCAGAAGGTAGACACTGGGGTGGCCGTGAGCATGACACTGCACTCTAGCCTGGGCAACAGAGTGAGACTCCAACTCAAAAAAAAAAAAAAAAAAAAGGAAGGAGAACACAATACTAAGTATCTTAGGAAAAATGTGTTTATTCTCCTTGCTGACATTTCTTTTGACACTTTATTATTAATAATAAATGACAAGAAGAAAATAACTTTATTTCATATTACTTCCAAAAAGCAGTAAGAAAGTAGCTATTTAGAAAATAGGCGATCCATACTTTTTTTGAAAAGCATTATAAAAAAATGAGAATCCCATTACATGGCAATACATGATCAAAGGTCAGATGAACATACATTCAAACAGGCTCTATTCAAAACAGAGCCCTCCACTTCTTTTGGAAGAACCCTTTCTCTTAGGCTCTTCCAGAAGCACTTCACGATGCCCGCCAGTTCATTTCTTTAGTGGTTAAGCAGAGGTATGATAACAGAATCATGAGAAGCTGGGACAAAGCCTGAGAGTGTGGCCTGATCTCTGAGGACAGCTGTCTTTGAGTTGTTCAAGCCAGAAGAGAAGCTTAGAGAAGGTTAAGGCAATCTATGGAGGGGGGAGAATGCAGCCCAATGCCCACTCCCATTTTTATCGCGACTCCAAAGACAAGCTCCAGAGTGAAGCTTGTCTTCACTCCACCAGGTTGAAAAGTTAAGTGAGAAAGGAGCCTGTATTGTTTTTAAAGTAACACAATACTTTCACGTTGTCTTATTTTTTGCAGTGCGGCTCTTCATGAATTTCACTTTAAAAATAACCTGTAAGGGAAGAAAAAAAGTAAGTGCATTTAATTCAAACACTGATTTTTAACATTCCTGTGAGGAGTGAATGACCAAAACATCAGGCCTGGTTCACACACTCCAGGAGACCCTGGGAATAATAGCATGGACATCCTGTGAGTAGGTAGCTGCCTAGAAGGCCTGCGTTCAGGGACAGCAGGAGGGATTTCTGCTTTTTCCTGGTGTCCTTCTCCTCGCCCATGGGCTTACTCAAGCCTGAAATAAATTCTGGAAGCATCTTTTGCCTTCAGAATCTGTCTTCTGATGCTGCCAAGGTACTGGGCCTCACAACTTTGGGAACACAAAAGTCTTACCAGACAGGTACCCCTACATGGAAGTGAAGACCTAACACCTGTCCCTGAAATCAGGTTTTATTAAGGGGCCAAGGGGCCCAAGCATCAGAAGCTTGGTTTCAATCAAACAATTCAAAATAAAATGCCTAGCTGGGCTCGGTGGCTCAGCCTGTAATCCCACACCTTTGGGAGGCTGAGGTGAGTGGATTGCCTGAACCTGCGGGTTCAAGACCCACCTGGGCAGGCGAGACCTCATCTCTACAATAAAATCAAAGTATTAGCCGGGCGTGGTAGCGCGCGCCTGTAATTCCGGCTACTCGGAAGGTTGAAGTGGAAGGATCGCCAGAGTCCAGCAGGTCGAGGCTGCGGTGGCCGGGAGCGGCCACTGCACTCCAGTCTGGGCGACAGAGTGAGACTCCAACTCAAAAACAAAAACAAACAAACAAAAAAATGCCTAATGATCACAATTAGCCTGGCACAAATGACAATCTTATTCCCGATGCTTATCAGAAAATATTACAGACGTATGTATTCTAAGAATGCTACCATCTTCTGTGAGAAACACCAACACACACCCACCTTACCGCCTCTCCCCCAAACAACAATCACAACAAACTTTGGCCAATCTTTCATAACACAGGTGAATTCACTCCTTTGCTTACTTTTAGCTCGGATTTCTGATCCTTGTCATGTACTTGTCTGGGCTGGCAGCGCTCATTACTGTAGTATAAATTGTGTAGCTGAAAATAATGAGAGAAATGTTTATATACACACAGCATTTTCCCTAATATTCCAAAGTGGGAAAAAAGTACCAAGCACTTCCCTCACACTTGGGATTTAGGCCGAGAATACAAATCAGAGGTCCATAAATGCCAGAATATTTTAAATATATGAATCAAGAAGTCAGATAGTCAAAGTGTTCTTTCCTCCTATTTTGGCAACGCTGTGGAAGGCCAAGCTGGAATTTAAAATTCTCAGACTCCTCAGAGCTCCACCCTACGGCAGTGAGGGAGAACCAGCCCTTGACTCTCACCCCAGGCTCTGTCCTACCCCACAAGGACATTACTTGTACATATATGACACCAGCCTTAGCATCTAAGCTTCACCCACATCGCCCAGCAAGCAGCCACCACCAGGCCCCCGTTCAGAACGGGCTGTCTCCAACAGTTGCACACCACTACCAGGAGAACACCACGCGGGGAACAGGGCCACGTGGGCCCTTGAAATGGGTGTGGGGCTGTTCAAGATGGAAATTCCAGGATCCTGGGTATTTGGACCATACTCTAGGTAGGCACATGCTCTTGGCTCGCTGAGTTCTTTATACCAAGGGAGGCCACAGCTAGAGGAAGGCCAGAGTGGGGACTTTAGAGCTCAAGAATTAAGGCAGCCTCTCCCCTTGCCCGGATCTAGGGGTGAAAGGTTCAATGTCAATGACTCCACATTCTGCAGAGCAAGAGACCTAAACAACTTGAGCACACACGTGCATGTGTGTAAATACACGCACTGGGTCCAGCCCTCCACGCCCCTCTCCTGCTGCTTGTCTTGGAAACTAGCTGCATGCATGTTCAGAGCATCTGGATTGCTCATGGGCAGGCAGAATGAGTGGCACTGGGCCCCATGGCTGGTTGTACACCCAGATGAAGACAGCACTTGAGCAAGTGTAGAGCACACCGGAGGGTAGTGGAAGGTCCCTGAGAGGACCTCAGCTGCCTGTTTACTCTAGTCATAGTTCTATTCTCTGTCACTGTCTTAACATTATCTCTGCAGACAACCACAGCAGAGGTTGTTCTACTGCAGGTGGGTGTGACTTTGCAATACAGGGCAGCATAGAGCGAATGACCTATGTTCTGTCGTTTCTATTATTCTCACACACTGAACAGCCTTAATTGAGGTTCTTGTTTCCTGTAAAGGGTCTGAGAGTCAGACATCTGTGTTAATTCTGGCTCTGCGGTGACTGTTATTTAAATGCAGTTTCTCTTGAGTTTACAATTATACAATGGAGAAAAATGCTACTTGGGAAACTGTTTATAACTTCTAACAATGTTATTTCAACAAAACCATTTCAGAAAGCATTTAAAGATTCATAGTCTTTTACCACTAGCCCTACTTCTAGGAAATCAGGGGAGGGAAATAATCAAAAAATGGAGGAGAAGGATGTACACATATGTTTTGTTTTATTAAAATACATATAACAACTATTTTGTTATAATACTAATTTTTTAAAGATATATTAGTCACTACTATAATTACTTTAAAAACTACAAGAACACAAAGTGTTCTAGAGTTTTTTAACCCCTATTTCTTTTTGAGTTGGAGTCTCACTCTGTTGCTCAGGCTGGAGTGCACTGGCATGCTCATGGCCACCGCAGCCTCGACCATGGATGGCTCAGGCCATCCTTCCACCTCAGCCTTCCAAGTAGCTGGAACTACAGGCACGCGCTACCATGCCTAAAGTGCTGGGATTACAGGCTGAGCCACTGAGCCTGGCTGGAACCCCTATTTTTAAAGTGAATAATAAAAAGGTAAAATTGTGGTCACCAGGAAGGGCACAGTCAAGGTTGGGTTGGAGCTGGTATCTACAGGCTGAGAACCAATTATTAAAGAACAGGTGGCTTACAACCAGTGGTAAGCTTGAAGGTAGCCATGGTGGGCGTATTCACACCTTGAGAGTCAACAACACGTTACATATTTGGGGATTTTTTTTTGTTTTTCCCTCCCACTCAAAGAGCTAGTTTACTACCAGACCACTTGGTAGGATTTTTTGCCCAAATAGTTTCTTTGTTAGAGAGGCAGAATACTGATTAATTTTTTTTCTTATATTTGCCATTAGAACATCTTTTGTGGAATTACTTTTTTAAGTGTTAATTTTTGGATCAGGTCACACTTAAAGAAAAAGCTTTCAAAGAGATATTTTGCATATCTATTCCATTATGGTACAAAGTGAAAAGTACAATGTCAATTTGAAAATGTCTTTATACCTAAGAACTCTTGAAGATGCAAAAGTTATTCTAGATACCATCAGGAAGATTACTCTTTTGTGTGCACATAAAATAGATCGTTTCAAAGACCAAAATCAACTCAGTATTTGAAACCAAAAAATCGCATTAGAGGTTTTTAATCTGTATTAGGCTACTTCTTCAATAGCATTTTGATATTCCTGTCTTGGAAAAAGCAGAAGTGAAGATAATGAGAAAATAGGAAATGCTAGGTTTTGAAGTGCATTGAAATGAAGGAATAAAACTGTCTTTACTTGCAGATGCTTCCTGTCGTAGTAAGTAATACCCTCATTCACTAAGCAAAAGTGTCTGCCCTCCTAAATAGCTGGTCTTAGGTGAAGTGAGGCAGTTAGGAGTGAGGCACTTCCTGGGGCAAGACCTGGAGGGGCTTATGAAGGGAGACCACTGGTCTCTTCAGCTTTGCTGTGACGGTGACAGTAGACCTTCAGAATTTCCTGCACAAGCTTGGTGGCAGCTGCCTCTCAAGTCTGACTAAGAGTGCCAGTTTTTAGACTTGGCACAGAATTTCATGTCAAAAGAGTGTAGAGTATAATCTCAGGCCACAGGCCACGGAAACCTTTGCTCATAGAATACCAGGATCAAGGGGCCAGACCGAAAGAAACAATGACTTAGTGAATCATCAGTGGAACAAGGAACAGCACTGGATATAGTGGACACTCCCCAGGAAGACAAAAAAACAAATAACAACCAAAAAAACCAAAGGCATAGAGCTTAGGTCTAACCAAGAGAAATTAAGGCACTAATTGCAAGCGAAGGCTGTCCACAGCCACTCAGCCGAGCTGGGAGGAAGGTGTCACTGCCAAAATATTTAAAACGTGTGAACCAAGTGGTCAGACATCAAAGTGCTCTTCCCTCCTACTCTGACCACACTGTGGAAGGCCAATTTGGAATTTAAAATTCTCAGACTCTTAGGAGCCTCCTTCCGAGCCACCCCGTTCTCCCTTTGGTTTTCTTTATGGACTTCTCACCTGACTTATGACATATTTGCTTATCTGCAACCCGCCCCCACCCTGCACCCAGCCAGAATGCTAGTCCCATGAGAGTTGTGACACTGTCCTGTTTGCTGCTGAACCCATGGGAGGGGACCCACAGCCTGGTCACAGCAGTCCTCAAATCCCTGTTCTGGGGTGATGTATGAACAGATGCATTTAACATGTCACTTACTTGTTATAAACTGGAACCACTGACAAAACCTGTATAGGAAAAAGGCACAGCACAGAGAACATTAAACAGTAGGAGAAATACACATAGTGTGTCTCCAGGAAGAATATCCCTCACTCAGCACATTGCTATCACTTTAGAAACTCGAATCGGGGGTGATAACTTTAGATCTTTAAATCCTTTCTCTTTTTTTCTTTCAAACAATGAACATATATTGCAACTATGCCTTTTCTTTTTTGTGGGGGAGGGGTCTCACTCTGTCACTCAGGCTGGAGTTCAGTGGCATGATCACAGCTTACTGCACCCTCAACCTCCTCGGCTCAAGAGAGCCTCCTGTGTCGGCCTCCCAAGTAGCTGGGGCTATAGGCATGTGCCACCACGCATGACTATTTTTTTTTTTTGGTTGAAATGAGGTCTTGCTGTATTGCCCAAACTGGTCTCAAACTCCTGGCCTCAAGCAATCCTCCTGCCTCGGCCTCCCAAAGTGCCAGGATTACAAGTGTGAACCACCATGCTTTGCCCTTTTCTTTTTCTAATTTTTTTTTTTTGAGTTGAAGTCTCACTCTGTCGCCCAGACTGGAGTGCAGTGGCCGCTCCCGGCCACCGTAGCCTCGACTGCCTGGGCTCCGGCGATCCTTCCACCTCAGCCTTCCAAGTAGCCAGAACTATAGGCGCGCGCTACCACGCCCGGCTGATTTTTTGATTTATTGTAGAGATGAGGTCTCGCTGCCCAGGTGGGTCTCGAACCCGCGGGCTCAGGCAATCCACTCACCTCAGCCTCCCAAAGGCGCGGGATTACAGGCTGAGCCACCGAGCCCGGCTCCTTTTCTTTTTAATATGAAGAAAAACGTAGGTGAAGATGGGCACTTTTGATGATATAGAAGTGGCTGGGCAAGTGGGACGTCGTATCATAGATACCTGGAAAAGCGTCTGCAGGCTGAGGTTTGCCTGCCCTGTGGCATTCAGGGCTTTGATGGCAGGTGTTCTGTAAGGACAATGGTCAGAGGTCACGGCACGCCAGGAAGCCCTGAAGCCTATTTGTGGCACCAAGGCACAATGCAAGGCCTAGCTTCATCATCTGCCTTTCCCCAAACAGACCATGTCCCCCAATGTGCTTCTGAGGCCCAGACCACCACGGTGGGGCCCCTCTGGCAGCAGGGCCCATGGACTTGTCTGCTCAAGAAAGCTGGAATGGTGAACACATGTGGCTGTAGAAGTGGACAGCTGCCAGACATGTGTGGCCATAAAGCCACAGTGCGGGAACAGCAGTCTGCTCTTCGAGGCCATTCTGACTTATAATTGCAGAATTTTCACAATTGGAAAAGACAATGACAGCCCTCGAAGGGTCTAGTTATTATTCAAGGAAGGTAAGTGATTTCCTTCTGCATCAAGTCGTACACAGAAGACCATGACCCTGGCCATTTTTTTCAGATGGGTGAGCAGAGTCATGGCGGGCTCTGGCTCTTGGCTCCAAAACTCTTCCAACACCTCCTAGCTGCTGGGAGGCTCTGCCCAAGGCTTTCCTCCACACATGACACTCCCACCCCGGTCAAGGCACCAGCCCAGGAGCATTTTCTGAGAGAGGTTAGCACCTGTAGGTCTCTCCAATTCCTGTGGCAGGAGGGGCATGCTCTCCCATCCACAAGAAAACACTGCCAACCAAAGAGTATGCAGTCTACCTTCGATCGTCTCGCTCAGGCACTGGCTTCCAGTGGTCATAATTCGTCTCAACTCGGAACCACCTGCAACAGAGCACATTGCCTTGTCTTATTAAAGATCATCTCGCCGGGCTTGGTGGCTCAGCCTGTAATCCCGCGCTTTGGGGGGCCGAGGTGAGTGAATTGCCTGAACCCGTGGGTTTGAGACCCGCCTGGGCAACTTGGCGAGACCTCATCTCTACAATAAATCCAAAAAAAAAAAATCACCCGGGCGTGGTAGCGCGTGCCTGTAGTTCCGGCTACTTGGAAGGCTGAGATGGAAGGATCGCTGGAGTCCAGCAGGTCGAGGCTGCAGTGGCCGGAAGCGGCCACTGCACTCCAGTCTGGGCGACAGAGTGAGACTCCAACTCAAAAAAAAAAAAGATCACCTCATATGCAGCTAAAGAGAAAATGTTTAAAAATTGTAAAAAAAAAAATGTTGGCACAAATTAAAAAAAAAATTGTAAAGACCTCTAGTCACACTAGTGAAAAAACAAGCTGCTATTTGATACAAAATGACCAGAGCCTTCTTTTTTCTTTATATTTTACTTATGATTTATTTATTTGTTTATTTATTTGAGTTGGAGTCTCACTCTGTTGCTCAGGCTGGAGTGCAGTGGCACGTTCACGGCCACCACAGCCTCAACCTGCTGGGCTCAGGTGATTCTTCCAAGTAGCTGGAACTACAGACATGCACCACTAAGCCCAGCTAATCTTTTGATTTATTGTAGAGATGAGGTCTCGCCAAGTTGCCCAGGCTGGTATGCAACCTGTGGGCTCAGGCAATCCTCTCACCTCAGCCGCCCAAAGTGCTGGGATCACAAGCGTGAGCCACCGAGCCCGGCCAACCAGAGCTTTCAATTCTACTCACGCTCCATTCAAAGGATCCAGAGGCCAAATGTCAGCGGGTCCACGTCTGTTCCTTGTGATGACCACTCCCTCCCGGGGGGAGGTGCCGCCAACAATATAATAGATATCAGCAATCAGGGGGGTCTTGGCCAGTTTGGAAACTGCTGTTTCAAAGTCTTCCGACTCACTCAGGGTCTGCACAGAAAGACAAACCAGCATGAGCCACAGCACCTGGGACATGGACCACACCCACTGATGGACAAATGACCCACAATGCATTCTCCCGAGATGCCAAGCCACGGCTGGAACCTTCAGCTGCACTGACAGGGAAGGGTTTCTGACAGGGAAGAGACCTCAGCTTCAGTGAGCTGGAAGCAGCAGGAATCCTTCTTTCTTTTTCTTCCTTCCCTCCCTCCCTCCCTCCCTCCCTCCCTTCCTTCCTTCCTTCCTTCCTCCCTCTCTCTCTCTTTCTTCCCTCCCTCCCTTCTCTTTCCTTCCTTCCTTTCTTTGAGTCAGGTCTCACTCTGTCACCCAGGTTGGAGTACAGTGGCATGATTAATGGCTCACTACAGCGTCAACCTCCTGGGCTCAGGTGATCCTTCTGCCTGAGCCTCCTGAGTAGCTGGGACTACAGGCATGTGCCACCACCCTCAACTGCTTGCTTATTTGTTTGTTTGTTTGTTTGTTTATTGTAGAGGTCTTGCTATGCTGCCTAGGCTGGTTTTGAACTCTTGGACTCAATCCTCTCATCTCGGCCTCCCAAAGTGCTGGGATTATAGGCAGAAGCCACCGCGCCTGGCCTGGAATTTCTGACAAAAGGAGAGAACTGCTGACAAGTCCTCAGCCTGGTCACCACACGTGGGCTGTGTGCTTTTCCTGTAGACCACCCTCATGAGGGACTCTGTTTCTTCATGCATTTGTTCTTCCCACAGGTATTTCTTGAATACCACCTGTGTGCCGGGCACGGTGCTGGTGTGGGGACAGCATAGTGTGCATGACAACCCCGGCCTGTTCTCCCTAGACCTCCCAGGAAGGCAGGAAAGTCAACAGGCACCACAGGAGAGGGAGTTGCTGTGGAAGCACCCTGTCCTCACTCGGGGTGTGGAGGAGGCGTCCCTGGAAAGCATCTGTGAGTTGAGGCCAAGACACAGACAGAGGGAGGCTGGTGGAGGGTGGCTGCAGGTGAGGAGAGGGAGCGGGCGAGATGCTAGTCAGTGGGCTAGGCTGGCAAAGGCAAAGGGATGCAAGACGTGCTGCCTCAGCCCCGGGCTTCCCAGACTGCCCACAAAGAGGTCTGTGGCATGGACATGTAAGGGGCCACTTCCCACACTGTCAGCCTCTACATGAGCTCCCTCCCTGAGCTGATCTGCTACAGAACCGCCCACGGTGGAGGATCTGTCCTTCCCACCTCCATCCCTGTGACTCTTCCACCACGTTCTGAAAGAAGTACGTTTTGAGCCAGGAGTGGTGGTTCATTCCTGTAATCTCAGCACTTTGGGAGGCCAAGGTGGGAAGATTGCTGGAGCCCAGGAGTTCAAGACCAGCCTGGGGTATATAGCGAGACCCTGTCTCTACAAAAAAAAAAAAAAAAAATTTAAATTAACTGGGTGTGGTGGCACATGCCTGTATCCCAGCTATTCAGGAGGCTAAGATGGGAGGGTCACTTGACACCAGGAGATTAAGGCTGCAATGAGCCAGGATCATGCCACGGCATTCCAGTCTGGGCAACAGTGAAACCCTGTCTCAAAAAAAAAAAAAAAAGTTAAGAAAAGAAAAAGAAAGAAAGATGTAAATTTTAGGCTCACCCATCCTGAAAATTACCAAGGCACATTGACAAAGGTGGGGATGGGGATGGAGTAAACAGAAGACAGTTCAAGATATCAGTGTCTGGAGAGGTTCCATCATTTAGCACCATGAGCCTTAATGCCACGGTAGGGCGTGTTGGCTTTCCCCTGCTTTATACATATTGTTGTTAGTGGGGAGGTATTTGAATTGCTTTGTTCTGAACACCACAAAATTTGGAAGTGAGGTGTTAGGACTCAAAAAACAACACCCAAATGAAGGCCGCAGAAGCAAAAGTCTCTCTCTGACCTCTGCCCTCCCGTCCCTCAATCCCATTCTCCTCCGAGGCTAGTCACAGAAACTAGAATTTCTCTGCCCCAAGGTGCGTTATAGAATCCAGAAGCCCTTTGCCCCAAAGCCAGCCATAAAACCTAAAAATAATACTGTAACATTCCCCTCCCACCTTTCTGTGTACAACTTGGCCATAAGGAAATTCTCTGCCCTGCCTCATTTGACTGCAGGTCATAAGATCCCCATTCCAGAGAAGGTCCTGCCCCACACCCAGAAGGAAGGGTGTACACAAAGTTGCCACGAAGAATCTAGCAAGGCCTTGCTGAGTTTCCCTACTCAGTCTATCAGCATGAGATCATTCCCTTTTGTTCAATCACATGTTTACATGGCTGCGCATACTTTGCTGAACCTAAGCATAAAAATGGACAATTCCCCCTGTATCTTTGGATCTTCCTCCTGACAGTTCCTGTGTCATGGAACACTGTAATACTATGCACACGGTAATAAGCGCCTGTCTTTTCGCCAATGAATCTGCCTGCTGTGAGCTGATTTTTCAGTGAAACTGCAGAGGGAGAAAGGGAACGTTGCCCTTGGCCCTGACAGAGGTAACAGGAGTAATGGCATATATACAATCTCTGAACTGTTGCCAAGGAACCCAGTGACTCTAGCAGAGAGTTCTGTGAGGACATAGCAAAAGAACATCACATGTCATGAAGGCACTGTTGACTTACTTAACCAAGTAGGAAGTCAGGGAAGGCAAGCACCTCATCTTCTCAGGAAATGGGAAGTGATTGCCAACAGGCACAAATTTCTTTTTTTTTTAATTTAATTTATTTTTGTTCAGAGATGGAGTCTTACTATGTTGCCCAGGCTGGATGCAAACTCCTGGCTTCAAGAGATCCTCTCACTTCAGCCTCCAGAGTGTCTGGGACTACAGGTGCACACTGATGTGCCTGGAAGATTTGTTCTTACTAAGGTCTTAGCAACCTCAGCATATGGAATTTTTTTCCTTTCCTTAAGTCAAAAACTTTCACCTTTCATTTAAAGGAAGTACTTTGTGGCCTCTCTTTGGCATATCTGAGTTGCCAGCATCATTACTCTTGGACTTTGGGGCCAATTTTTTTTTTTTTGACTTAGAGTCTCACTCTGCCTATCAGGCTGTACAGTGGCATGCTCCCGACCACTGTAGCCTCAACCTGCTGGGCTCAGGTGATCCTTTCACCTCAGTCTTCCAAGCAGTTGGAACCACGGGTGCACGCCACCATGTCCAGCTAATTTTTTAATTTATTGTAGAGACAAGGTCTCGTCAAGTTGCTCAGGCTGGTTTTGAACCCCTGGGCTCAGGCAATTCTCTCACCTCAGCCTCCCAAAGTGCTGGGATGACAGGCGTGAGACACTATGCCCGGCAAAAACAGCCATGTTAAAGGACACAGCACATCACAACATGAATACACCGGTGCAGAAGATGAAGTTAGGATGAGGTGGGCACAGCAGGACGTATACTCACGGTGCGAATAAGCCAGCTGATTGGAGTGTGTCTCTGCAAAAGGGCTGCAATCGCATTCTCCCACCACCAGCCTTTATCTGCCAAGTTGAGAATATGTGTTACATATGCATGTGTATATGCATACATGCAGTAACATATATGCTCTTCTAGCAAGCAAACATATGCAGATAGTTACTCAAGTTGTGAAAGGAGAATCTTATGCCAAAGGAAATCATTCTATTCATTCCCCCAGGCAAAATGAGATTATGTAGTTATCATAGGAAATGTCTCAATAAATAATAATGCTGAGAACTTATGTCTTACAGATCTATACACTTGATTTGGACTCACATTAAAAAAAATACAAGTTTACAGTCATTTTCTAAAATTGCTTTTTGACAACTTTAAAAAGTCTCTGCAGAGAATTCATTTCCAAAGGAAAACTTTCATTCAAAGCTAAGCAATAGCAGCAAAATAAAAATAGGCAAATTGAGTTTCATAAACATTTTTTAAAATGTTGTGTTAAAAGACAATATCAATAGAGTAAAAAGGCAACTCAAAGAATGGAAGGAAATATTTGCAAATCATATATCTGCTAAGGGATTAATATCCAGAATAGAATTCCTAAAACTCCACCACAACAAAACAAACAGCCCATTCAAGAATGGACAAGGGCTTGAATAGGCATTTCTCCGAAAAAGATCTACAAATGGCCAGTAAGCACATGAGAAGGTAGTCAACATCATTCATTACTAAAGAAATACAAATCAAAACTACAAGATACCACCTCATACCCCTTGAGATGGCCACTATAAAAAAAACAATAAATTATAAGTGTTGGCAAGGATGTGAAGAAATTGGATCTCTCGTCACCGTTGTTGGAAATGAGAAATGGCATAACTATTTTGGAAAAAGTATGGTCATTCTCCAAAAAATTAATAATAGAATTACCATATGATCACGCAACCCCACCTGGGTATATATCCACCAGTTACAGAGACAGATAGTGATAAGGCATCCAAAACATTATGGATGTATTTACTGTCTCTGAACTATACACTTAAAAATAGTTAAGATGGTAAGTTTTATTTATTTATTTATTTATTTAGAGTTGGAGTCTCACTGTGTCGCCCAGACTGGAGTGCAGTGGTATACTTCCGGCCACTGCAGCCTCAACCTGCTGGGCTCCGGCGATCTTTCTACCTCAGCCTTCCAAGTAGCCACAACTATAGGCACGCTACCATGCCCAGCTAATTTTTGATTTATTGTAGAGAAGAGGTCTTGCCAAGTTGCCCAGGTGGGTCTTGAACCCAGGGGCTCAGGCAATCCACTCACCTCGGCCTCCCAAAGTGCTGGGATTACAGGCTGAGGCACCGAGCCCAGCCAAGATGGTAAGCTTTAAGGTATGTATATTTTACCACAAAAAAGTTGAGGAAAATAATTAAATTTTATATACATATAAAAGAAGCACCAAGCATCTATATGGCATATGTTGACTTGGCCCAGACCCTCGGAATTTAACAGTAATTAGTATACCATTAAACAAACATGGGCTTGGTAATAAGACAAATAATGTAATTTTTTTTAAAGTTGGGGTCTCAGTCTGTCATCCAGGCTGGAATGCAGTGGCACTACCACAGCTCACTGCATCCTTGACTTCCTGGGCTCAGGCGATCCTTCCCCCTTAGTCTCCCGAGTAGCTGGGACTACCGGCATGTACCACCAAGCCTTGCTAATTTTAAAATTTTTTGTAGAGACAAGGTCTCGTTATGTTGCCTAGGTTGGTCTTGAACTCCTGAACTCAAGCAATCTTCCCACCTTGGCCTCCCAAAGTGCTAGGATGACAACCGTGAGCCATCGCACCCAGCCCAGAATAATGTAATTCTAAGTGAGGAGGGAGGACTCCTTCAGAAAGAAGCATTAAAGACAGTCTGTCTGAGTTGTTGACATTGGAGCTAAGATGGGCAAAGCTTCCACACAGAAGACATGAGTGCCAGGGCCCTGGGGCAGAAACAAGCTTGGCAGATGTTAGGAAAAGAGAGAATGCCAGTGATGCACACCTGTAGTCCCAGCTACTCAGGAGGCAGGTGGAGAGGGAGGAGAGAGGCATAAAATGAGGTGGAGAGGGTCACATAGGTTCTAGGTTGTAGTCAGGACTTTGAGTTTGTTATAGGTGAAATGGAAAGCTACAGTAGGTGGTTGGGTTTTTTTTTGGCATTTAAAAAATTTTATTTTAAATTGATAAGTAGTCACATATTTACGGGATACCATGTGATGTTTGATACCTACATACATTGTGGAATTGATCGAATCAGACTAACATACACCTCACATATTTATCATTTCTCAGTAGTGAGACTATTTAAAGTTCATTTCTGGCCAGGCACGGTGATTCACACCAGTAATCCCAGCACTTGGGGAGGCCGAGATGGGAGGATTTCTTAAGCCCAGGAGTTCGAGACCAGCCTAGGCAATACAGAAAAACTCTGTCACTACACAAAATAAAAACATTAGCTGGTCATGGTGGCATGCAGCTACTCAGGAGGCTGAGGTGGAAGGATAGTTTGAGCCCAGGAGGTTGAGGCTGCAGTGAGTCAGGAGCATGCCACTGCACCTTAGCCTGGGTGACAGAATGAGACTCTGACTCAAAAAAAAAAAAATCTCAATTATTTATATCAACCAAGAGAAGTTCTTTGAGCATTTTAACTCAATTTTTTTTTTTTTTTTTGAGTTGGAGTCTCACTATGTTGCCCAGACTGGAGTGCAGTGGCC